CAAACTTGCAAAACACACTTGCCTACTTTTCAAAACCACACTTCACAAACACAATTTCCAAACAACTTTCAAAAACATTTGAAACATCTTTTCAAAAAGATACACACCTTTGTATATACTCAAACACGAGTCATTACAATGGTTGCCTAGACAAGGCCTCTTTTTCAAAATATTTTCAAAACACACACACACACCACCATTTCAAGCAATTGAAAATCAAGGCAAGTGATCTAAACAAGTAACTAAGAGCCCATGGATAACCATGGATGAAAAGGGTGCTAATACCTTCCCTTTTCATAATCTACCCCCCGAACCCACGAAACATCTCAAAAGGTTTTTCCTGTGCTTTTTAACCTTTCCTTTAGGATAAAATAAAAAGTCGGTGGCGACTCTTGCTAAACCGAACAATTGTGAATACAAAATGCAAAACCTCAAGTCAGTTCTCCCACCGTATCACAATTATCGACGAGAAACCTGCTATCTTATAGAGGAATCGCCTTAACACCTCAAGATCATCTTTGTGTTTTGTGTTTGGTTCAGGAGGAATCGTTGGTTCATATGTTGTTTGATTGCTCTGTGGCTAAGTTAGTTTGGATAGAATTGGCTCTTTGGACACCGTTGGTGTTGGAACCTCATGTTGGATTGTGGGATAGTGTTCGCTTGTAAAGAGTGTCACATGCAAGTATACATGTATGTTGATTGCAGCAAGTAATAAATATAAGAGTGTCGAACCCACAGGGAGTGTTGTAACTTAGATTTGATTTTTACATAGAAATTATTCTTTTGATTTAAGCATGAGCGGAGAGAAATAATATTTGGTATTTACAAGTTCAAAGTTCACTTAAAACAGGTTTCAAAAGTAATGTGAAAAGAAGTGGAAATATATTAAGAGTGATTGAGTTAAGCTATATTCCATTAATATCATTAGTGTAGTTATGTGTTATCACGTGTGGTGTCGTGACATGCAAGGTCAGAGTGATCTTGTGGTGTATTTCTACAACACCAAAACATACATAATAGGGCAAGGGAACAAATCTTTAAGTCTCACTTATAACCCTAAAATACGTCTTTTATTTATTTTGAAATCCTTAATGGCTGAAATTTCTTATCTCTAAGTAAACTAGGCAAGTGAATATCTTTATCCCTCTCTTTCAACCATTTGTTAGATCTCTCACAAAAAGAAGTTGTTACCTATTCCTAAGTTAATCATTCAAAGAATAAGTTTTAAACAAGTAAACACATGGTAAATCAAGCATTAACCACACAACATATAACATAAAAACAACTTAATATTAATTTCGCATTGCTTAACTACAAAAGGTTTAGCTTATAGTGAGCTGAGTACAAGCTACAAACATGGTTCTCAACAGGAACATCTTTTTAACAATAAATTAAGAAAAGGTAGAAACTTAAGAGAGACTTGGAGGATGCCTTGAGATGACTAATCTTCAAGAGATGACTCCAATCGTGCCACTACTCATCAGTTGGTATAGGATTGGGTGAGGAGAGAAACTCTTTTACACTCCATTGTCCACGCACTTAAACTCTTCTTGTTTTCTCTTTGAATGATTGAACTCTCTATTCAATTCTCATCAAATATCTATTTATAGACCAAGGACTAGGGTTTATGTGTTACATTGGATCATGGGTTTATGTTTAAGGAATCATATCAAGCCCGTGCAAAAAGTAGTGCCAACACACTGATGCAGCTGCTTAGCAAAAAAGGAGTCAGGTACAATGAGACCATGGTGGGAGACAATATACAATGTGGCAGACTACTACAGCAGGCGCTGCGCACTCTTCCCAGTGTACTATTATGCCTTCTTTTATCCTCTAGCGCCTACACTTCATACTTTAATGGCTTTCTTTCTCTTTTTTAGCACAACAACATTTTCCCAGTTGATTGCAATATTGATTTTGCCCTTCCACTAAGTCCTTCTAGTTACCTCAACTTGCGTTCTACGCAGCAGACCACTGCAGTATTGCCTTTGCTTGACTCTGTTAACCTTTACTTACACAAAAACACATTAAATAACCAAAAGGGAGCACCTATTGTGCTCCAAGCTATACTAATAAAATTAACTAAAAATGTAGAAATTTAACGACTAAGAAGCAAATAAAAGACGCATTAAAGAAATACAAAAGCATGTATTAATTCATAAAATGTGGGTTAACAGATAGCTTTCTTGAGTGGCATAGAGAAAGTGGGAAGAAGAAAGTGAAAGATAATAAGAGGGGATTAATATGGTTGGGGTTGATTTGGGGCATTTGGAGGTTGAGGAATGATATCATTTTCAATAGTGGTAAATGTAACGTTTCCTATCTCATCTGGGACATCAAGTTGAAGGCGTGGAAGTGGTCCTTCATTGGAGAAATTTCTTATTCCAAGTGTAACTTCTATGAGTTTTGCAAAGATCTGATATATTTTTCTGATTTAAGTTTCAGTTGGTTTGTAGTTTACTTATAAAAAAATATAGGTTAATGAATTAAGTTGTCTTATACATAGAAAATTTTCTAAATTAAAAATCATAAATTTTGCCATTTTGAAAACAATACTTAAAATGATTTTTAAACTTTTTCTTTGAGTATTTAAGGTCTATAATAATTGAATTAGACATTGTGTCTTTGTTTATGATCCAATAACAAACTTAATATTTGATTTAATCTCTTTCTTCTTTGATTTTTTTCTTAAGATGGTCTTTTATTTTCATCAAAATTAAGCTAAGAATGACAAACATATCTTCTTCACATATTGAGGTGTTACTTTGTACCTAGTTGACATGTTCATGTTTGTGGACAAAAGTGCGGGATCGATCCAACCTGTTTTGAGGCCTAAAATAAATTTTAAAATGAAGTCTTTAAAATGTATTTTAAAATAATAATTTTGTGGTTGTTAAAAGTTGAACTAAAGACTAAAAGGAAAATTGACCTACATTTTACCAACTCAACTATGATAATATATGTGACTAATGTGTCATTATATATTTTTATAATTAAATTAAAAAAATTGAGGTCTTTTTTAAGCTCAAACTTGAGGCCTAAAGTCCTAGCCTAGGTTGCTTGGCCCTTTGACCGACCCTGCAAAAGTGTAACTTACGTCGATGTGATCTACCTTAAATACTTCATTGACTTGACGACAATTCACAATTACAACTAGGGACACCTGTTTGGTCTATCTATACACGAAGTTGGACGAGGATTGTCTTTAGAAGACAAAGTAAATAAGAGGAAGTTGCACGTTGTTTAGGTATTTGCAGGTTATTCTGAGACACCCCTTTAAGTATGTTTCTCCCATCGTCCGAGTTAGAGATCTTAATGTGATACTTGAGGATTTCGAGAATCATTTGGTACCAGAGAACTATCGCAGGGTCCCAACTCATATACATTGCACTTATGCAGACGACTACATGACTTGGTTCTATAGAATGTCACACCCTATCATGACATCAGACGTTTTTGAAAGACCACCTAAACCATATAATAAAGAGGTACTTGAGGCTAAGGATGACCATACTCCTAATACCTTTAAATAAATTTAAAAGATATTTCAAATAAGTATATCCAGATACACACTAGAAAATGACATGTTCTCCCTTATAATCATTATTATAAAAAGTCTATAAAATATTAATAATTTTAAAATGGTGAAGTATTCATATCAATAGTGAAATAGCTAGGGGTATTCGCGATTCGATTTAAATCAGTTTTAAGACAAAAAAATTATTCGATCCAAAGATAAATTTACTTGCGGTTCGGTTTGATTTTAGATGATATATTAAAAAAATCCAATCCGATCTGATTCAATTTTATGCGGTTTAATTTGAATCGGTTTTTGGATATCCAAATTATCCATTATATTTTTATTAATATTATAAAACTATTAATAAATCATAGATTTGATATAATATATAACATATAGTATATTAAAAGTGAATATTATAAAATGAGAGTGGTTGATTATGATTGAAATAATAAAAATAAATAAATTATACTAAACTAATAATTATTATTAAAAAAATTATTATCATCTAATAATAATTTCACGTAACATATCATACTAATAAAAAGTAAATAAGTATAAAAATATATGAATGTGATTTGGTTTGTTTGGATCGGTTTTAAAAAACTAATCTGAAATCCAATCCGAACATATTGGTTTTCACAAAATAACATCCAAACACATCCAATAAATTTCAGTTTTTGTGGTTTTTGAATTTTCGGTTTTGTATTTGGATTTGCTTGGATTTGAATACCCCTAGAAATAGTCGTACCAATCACATATCAATACTTTTGCCGTGTTTTTGTTTTTTAATTTCATTTTCAATGAAATTTGTGGATTTATCATATATTAATAAAATGTATTTATGTATTTATATATTTTAAGTTTTATTATTATTAACACAATTTCTGACTTTTTAAACTTTTATTGTGGTATTTTATTTTGAACTAGATAATATAGTTATCTGCTTATATTTTTTATATATATAAAAAATATAAAAAAACTCTTATTGACGTACTTGTACGTTGGTTATTTTTAAAATGTTGTAAAAACACATTCCTACATATCATCATTGGAGATCCTATAGTACGCCCAAACTGATGACATGAACACACCATGTCATTCACGCAATCTAAAATTTGTACCCTGTGATTTCAGACTTATATGCAGATGCCAGCTTAGGCCTTACAAGTCATTAATGCAGTTGTAGTGTAATACTAATAAAACCACCATCCTATTACTCATCCAAGGAGCCAGAAAAAATCAGTATATTATGTATTAAATTATTTGGCTTATGTAATGGGGATGGTTGAACTGTGCCCTATACATCCTATATTTTGGGGTACATAGAATGCTTCTTTGAGTATAGGCCTTTATGTATTTCATAAACCACACAAAACATTGTTGAAGGCAATAATGCTCTGGTTGGACAAAAACAATGCTGAACAACTTCAGTGGTTTCCTATCATCTGCAATTTTCTGTGCAACAAAACATATGACCTTAATCAACATTATGCCTTGCCGACCTTCCTCTTTTTAAGTATTGTTGTGAAAATTCATTCTGACTATCTGAGTAATATGGAGAATGATATTGCTGGCTATCTGATTTTCTCGGTTTCTCATATCGAAGTGAGTGATCTTCATTGCCTCTAACATTCTCAGAGATTGATGGAGAATGACAAAGCTGGCTATCTGATTTTCTTGGTTTCTCTGAATATCGAAGTGAATGATCTTCATTGCCTCTAACTTTCTCAGAGATTGATGGAGAATGATTTTCAGATCCCCGAGACCTACTAGGAGTTAAAAGAGGTATGTAAAAATCACACCCTCGAGACTTATTGGGGGATAGATGTGGCGACTGATGTTCGTTTCCTCGAGACCTTGGGGATCTAAGTGATATGTGAAAGTCAAATCCTCGAGACTTGTTTGGAGATGGAGGTGGTAGCTGAAGTTCGAATCCCTTTCCTTTATTCATGTTTTGGAGTTCATTTGTAAACTGACTACGGCGATCCTTCAAAAAGTTTAGTTTGGATGTCAGTCTTGTCATTGTAGAAGTAGGGGAGTTTGTTCCCTGCTGTGAAAGAATTTAATGATTAAGTTAGTTTACCTAAACAAAATTTCAATATAATATGATAAGAATGTGTAAATTAATAGATATAGATATAAAAAGAAATAGGTCAATATAGAAATAGAAGCCAAGCCGATAAGAATGGTTATTTCTGTCAAAAGAAAATGTCTAATCATTGACGTGCTGACAAAAACTTAGCTGCTTTTAGGAAACACCTTACGTTTATTATGTGTTTAGATCAGATTTTGCAAATTTGGTTTGCTTGAACTTGATTTTCATAACCTTGCTTATTAGAAGTGATTCTTGTCTATTAACTTTTATTTAGAAAGTGATTTTGGTCAAAGAACTGTTTGAATGTGTGAAAAATAGCAATAAGAAATTTTTTGAATGGGCTTGAGTGAGTAACACACTCAGCAACCTTGATATTTATACACACTATATATACCAACTCCCTAAATGCATGAATCTAAATATACATGAACCTAAGACTTAAATGCTCATTTTAATGGGAAACATACAATTTATTTTTCTATTTCCAACACTCCCCCTCAAGCTGGTGAATAAGTACTCTCCATTCCCAGCTTGGATACAATTTGTTCAAAATTAGTGCTACTCAATCCTTTAGTGAGAATATCTGCAAGTTTCCCTTGTGAGAATACACATGAGGTGCAAATTAGCCCACTATCAAGCTTCTCCTTAATGAAGTGTCTATCAACCTCAATATGTTTAGTTCGAACATGTTGAACTGGATTATGTGTTATACTGATACCTGACTTATTATCACAGTAGAGCTTCATGGATCCTTCCCATTTGATTTTCAAATCTTCTAAAATAATTTTGAGCCAAAGTAATTCACAAATGCCTTGTGCCGTGGCTCGAAATTCAGCTTCTGCACTAGAACGGGCTACTACATTTTGCTTCTTACTCCTTTAAGTCACAAGATTTCCTCCAAGAAAGGTGCAATACCCTGTAGTGGATCTTCTATCAACAATTGAACCTGCATAATCTGCACCAGTGTAGGCCTCAAGGGTTGTATTTCTATTTCTTTTGAACAAAATTCCTCTTCCTGGAGTTCCCTTAAGATACTGTAGGATTCTATGAACTGCTTGTAAATGATTTTCTTTAAGAAAGTGCGTGAACTGACTAACCATACTTACAACATATGCAATATTGGATCTAGTGTGAGACAAGTAAATTAATCTCCCAACTAGACATTGATACATTTCTTTATCTACTGCAACATTTTCTTTTGTATTACTCAGTTTAAGATTTGGATCCATAGGAACGCTCGCAGGTTTACACGCTGTTTTTCTTGTATCTTTGAGTAAATTTGTAATGTATTTTTGTTGAGATATAAAAATTCCTTTTCGAGAATGTGTCACCTTGATTCCCAAGAAGTACTTCAGCTTTCCAAGAGTTTTTATTTCAAACTCCTTAGCCAAACACTGACTCAAGATTTATTGCTCCTTCCAATCATCTCCTGTCATTATAATGTCATCCACATATACTAACATAAATGTTACTCCCCCTTGTGGCGAGTGTTTGATGAATAAGGTGTGATCCCCTTGACTTTGCTTGTACCCCAAAGATGTCATAACCTTAACGAATCTTCCAAAAAATGTTCGAGGTGATTGTTTTAGACCATATAACGCCTTTTTCAACCTGCAAATTGTATTGTCAAACACATTATTTTCATACCCCGGTGGTACCTGCATATAAATCTCCTCTTCGAGTTCCCCATGTAAGAAGGCATTCTTCATATCAAATTGTTGTAAATTCCAACCATAATTAGCAGCAAGTGACAAAATTACTCTCACTGTATTCATCTTCGCAACCGGAGCAAATGTCTTTGAATAGTCAATTTCATAGGTTTGTGTAAACCCTTTGGCAACCAACCTGGCTTTATATCTTTCGATTGATCCATCAGCCCTATATTTTACTGTGTACACCCATTTGCATCCAACCGGCCTCTTTCCTTCTAGTAAAGTCACTAACTCTCAAGTTCCATTCTTCTTCAATGTGTCCATTTCGATATTCATGGCTTGCTTCCATTTTTCATCAGACAATGCCTTAGAAACATTAGTAGGTACGGTACGGAAGTAGCATTTAGGTTTGTAAGGAAGGCTCTATGGGTAGGTGAGAAATTTTTAAAAGAAAGATAGTTTGAAAGGGGATATAAATGTTGTTTGGTGCATTTTCTGGTACCTTTTCTAATAGCAATTGGAAGGTCTAGGTCATCATCTATTTTTTGGGTCATTATTTTATCTTGTAAATCAGAAGAATTAATTACCTCATTCAAAGGAGTCGAGTCAGACTCTTGAACTTGTGTCGATTCAGGAATGTCCTTTGACTTTCTCATGTAAACCCGATTCTTCCAATATCTTACATCCACTTCAGGTCCAAGTTCAGCAAGTGGTGTATTTGATTGATTTGACTCAACTCCTAGCTCTTCAGTCTCAGATGGGTCTGGTACAAGTGTTTAACTCAGGACCAGAAAGATTGGGTCTATTTCGCTCTAAACTGGAAGAATTAGGTGGATTTGACTCGAGACCAGAGAGATTGAGTGTATTTGACTCATGACTAGAATGACCAGATGTATTTGACTTAATACTAGACAGATTGAGTGTATTTGACTCAAAACCAGAAAGATCGAGATTTTCAAGCTTATCTTCCTTAAAATTCTCCTCCTGAAGATAAGGTTGAGTAAAGTACGGTTCCTCCTCGTGAAAGGTAACATCCCGCGACACGAAAAACTTTTTAGATGGAGGATCGAAACACTTATATCCCTTTTGAGTAGAGGAAGATCCGACAAAAACACATCTTAGGGCTCTAGGGTCGAGTTTTTTTCTGTCTTGACTATGCACATGGACAAATGAGACACACCCAAAAATTATAGGTTTAAGATTACTACTTACGGACAAATTTGGATAGAAGGAAGAAATAACATCCATAGGACTCTTGAACCTGAATACTCTAGAGGGTAATCGATTAATAAGATATGTACTAGTGAGAACAACCTCCCCCCATAAATATTTTGGAACATTTTGATGAAACAATAGTGCCCGGATTTGGTCTAATAGATGCCCATTTTTCCTTTCTGCAATTCCATTTTGTTGTGGTGTTTTAACACAAGAAGACTCATGAACAATTCCCTCTTTTTGACAGAAAGAAGTAAGAACATGATTGAAATACTCTTTTCCCTTATCAGACCTAAATCTTTTGATGTTTACTCCAAATTGATTTTTAATCATGTAGAAAAACTTTGAAAAAACAGTACTGAGGTCAGACTTGTTTTGGAGTAAAAACACCCAAGTAACCCGGGTACAATCGTCTATAAAAGTAACAAACCACCTAGCACCCGTTACATTTGGATTGGTTGAGGGACCCCAAACATCTGAATGAATAAGATAGAAGGGGGAAAGGCTTCTTTTGTTGTTTAATGGAAAAGGTGAACGCTTATGTTTGGCAAACTCGCACACATCACAATGAAGACTTTCAATATCTACCTTATTGAATAAAGATGGAAACAAAACTTTAATGACTCCAAAAGAAGAGTGACCTAATTGACAATGAAAAAGAAATATTTTTTCCATTTTAGACAGTACTGACTCTGACATAAATGAGTGGGACAAGTGACCTTTTGTACACTGATCTGGTTCTTCAAGATAGTAAAGATCATTTTTTTCTCTAGCACGTCCAATTGTCTTTCCCGACTCCTTATCCTGAAATATACAACAATCATTATGAAAAGTAACACTACAGGATAAATCATTTGTAAGTTTTTGTACGGAGACAAGGCTCATGGATAGTTTTGGAACATGGAGGACCCTTTTTAGGGTTATAGAATGATTTATTTGGATATCTCTCATGCCCGCTACAGTTACAAGAGTACCATCTGCAGTAGAAATCTTTTTATTATTGGGACAAGGGGAATATGAGGAGAATTGTTTCGAAGGTGTCATGCGGTTTGTGGCTCCTGAACCTAATATCCAAAATAACAAGGTGTTTCTGAGACATGAAATCCAAATGAGAGTGGAAACTTACCAGAATACGCTACACTGCATTTACCTGATGACTTTACCAAAGAAAACAAGATTTGATGAAGAAATCAACCCAGAAAATATAGGAACAGCAGCTAGAACTGTGCAGAAAGCGGTTGAAACATGTGCAGAGCAGTACCGACGGCTGTAGAAAACTGTACAGACAGCTACCGGAAAAGTATAGAGAGCGTTTAATTGGAAAAAACTTGACAGCAAGTGTTGCCCAGTCAAGATTGAAGTGTTCTGACAGCATAAAAATGCCTAGTCAGATTTCTACATAATGATTAGCGGAAGTAGAGTCCTCTAGATTAGGAGCTCTGATGCCATGTGAAAAATAGGAATAAGAAATTTTCTGAATGGGCTTGAATGAGTAAAGCACTCAGCAACCTTGATATTTATACACACTATATAATTAATTACATATTATGTTTACAAGGAGAAATAAATAATAGTCAAACTCCCTAAATGCATGAATCTAAATATACATGAACCTAAGACTTAAATGCTCATTTTAGTGGGAAACATACAATTTATTTTTCTATTTCCAACAGAATGCTATGATGAAAATCACGGTATATGTATAGTTATTAATAAGGGTATTGTTGAAGATTAGCAAAGAATCTGTTGTGCAGATTATGTTTTGTATATATCATAACTGCAGTTTTATGTAAATTAATTAGTTGTCTGTTTTGTTTTTATCACATTTAATCTTAGCATTTATAGGAATAAATATTCCCTTAATTTTTAGGCTAAATTAGCGCATCCCTCTCAGCCCTATGTACTATATATATCTTATGTATTATCAACCAAAACATATTTCTACATGGTATCAGAGCACAATCTGAACCATCCCTAAATTAGCGTCGTCAAACCATGGACGACTCAAAAATTAACACATAGCTCAAGATGGTAACTGGATCTTTTCCGACCAGCTCACACGACGGAATATCCCGTCCCTTGTGTGATCATTGCAAGAGGCCCCGCCACACCAAGGAAATATGTCGGATCATAATGGAAAACCTTTGAAAGCAAATCAGTTCAAAAGGAAGGAAGAAAAAGGTAACAAAACCTTTAACCATCGAGAAGTCGAGGTAAATTCTAACTCATCTCCATTCAACCAAGAACAAATGGAGGAAATTGAAAAACTCCTTCAGCAGACTATGCTATCTGCAGAAAAAGTTGGTACTACTAATGTTGTCCAAAAAGATAATTATCTATATGCTTTAAACACTAGAAAAGAAGAAACAAAGTCATGGATCATTGACTCAGAAGCTTCAGATCACATGACTAGTGATTTTACATTGTTTAGTAGTTATTCTCCTTGTCCCTATAACTATACTGTTCGGATAGCTGATGGGACTCATTCTAAGGTCATGGGTAAGGGATCAATTATTATTTCTCAAAATATCACTCTTGACTCAGTTTTATATGTGCCAAAACTCGATTGTAACTTGTTGCCCATTAGTAAGATTACCCGAGATTTGAAATGTGTTGTTAAATTCGTCCCTAATTCGTGTGAATTTCAGATTTTGGAGTCGGGGAAGACGATTGGCAATGCTGAAGAGTGTGTGGGACTCTACCTCCTACAAGTTGAAGGAAAAAAAAAAAATCCAAGGCGCTCTCTCTCTTATGTAGCAGCAACGGTTCAAAATAGTGAGAATTCTATAATGTTGTGGCATTATAGATTAGGCCACCTAAGTTTCAGATACTTGGAAAAGATTTTTCCCTCATTATTTAATAAAAACCAGAAGCAGTTTCAGTGTGAAATTTGCCAATTTGTCTTAACATACCCGTAACCATTACCCGCTCCAACCCTACAAACCATCGAAACCCTTTTCATTAATTCATAGTGATGTATGGGGACCATCTCGAGTTCACAACATTACTGGCTCGAGGTGGTTTGTCACCTTTATCGATGACAACACACACGTCACTTGGGTGTTTCTAATGAAGGAAAAATCAGAAGTAGGGAGAATATTTGAAAATTTTCATAGCATGGTACAAACACAACTTCAAAGCAAGATTCAAGTACTCAGAACCGACAATGGTCGTGAATACTATAACCTTTTCTTAAATTCCTATCTCCAAAAGGTTGGAATTGTTCACCAAAGCTCGTGTGTGGGCAACCCCCCAACAAAATGGAGTTGCGGAAAGAAAGAATAGACACCTCTTAGAAGTAACTAGATCAAGCATGCTAGCCAGTAATGTTCCAAAACAGTTTTGGGGAGAAGTTGTCCTTTCGGCAACACATCTCATAAACAGAATGCCTTCTCGTATCTTTGACTTTAAAACCCCTATTTCCACACTTCAAACCTTCTTCCCAACCAGCAAGATCTTTTCTTCCGTTCCACTAAAAATATTTGGATGTTCAGCTTTTGTCCACAATCTCAATCCTCACCGTAGTAAACTAGATCCAAAATCCATCAAGTCCATCTTTCTTGGCTACTCTCCTCACCAAAAAGGATATAGATGTTACTCTCTCCAAACAAAAAAATTCTACCATACTATGGATATCACTTTCTTTGAAAATCATCCCTATTACACCAAAGTTGGCATTCAGGGGGAGCAATCACACTTATATCCAACTAAAAGTTCAGAATACCAACTTTTGGCACTTGAGGAAACCGAACCCACACAAATAGTACCAGACCAGACCCCAAATACTCAACCTGAAGCTGCACAAATGTTACCAAATCAAACCGTTGATACTCAACTAGCCGAACCAGTAGCCAGCCCAATTGAAGGGACCACTGAAGCTACACAAATGTTACCAAACCAAACCATTGATACACAACTAGCTGAACCAGTATCCAGCCCAGTAGAAAGGACCACCGAAACTGAATTAGAGATGATTAATATTTCAACTACATCTCAGCAGAACCAAGGACGAAAAGCACAATAGGGTATTTGGAAGAACAAGACTTATGAAAGGAGAAGGAAGGAAGTAGAGTCAAAGTACAACTCCAATGCAAAACCACGAGTCCAACCAGGCTCTTGAAAATGAAGTTCCCACATGTAATATGATCCCTAACCCTGAACATGTTGGTATAAATGCAACAATTAGTGATATTCCTATTGCAATAAGAAAAGGGGTGAGAGCTTGCACTCATCACCCTATTGAGAGATTTGTCTCCGATGAAAAATTGTCACCAAGTTACAGGTCCTTTGTAGTAGCGATTGACAACATTAAGATTCCAAAGAATATTCATGAAGCACTGCGAAAACCTAAATGGACAGCCGGTGTAACAGAAGAAGTTCAAGCGCTTGTAAAAAGTGGCACATGGGAAATCACATCTATACCAGAAGGGAAGAAAGCAGTTGGATGCAAGTGGATATTCTCAATTAAATACAATGTTGATGGAAGTATAAATAGGTACAAAGCCCGGTTAGTTGCAAAAGGATTTATGCAGTCATATGGGGTGGATTATGAAGAGACATTCGCTCCCGTAGCTAAACTCAATTTTGTCCGGGTCATATTGTCTTTGGCCGCAAATCTAGATTGGCCACTACACCAACTAGACATAAAGAATGCATTTCTAAACGGAGAGTTAGAAGAGGAGGTATATATGCAAATACCTCCAGGATTTATGTTTCTCAAAGGAAGTACACTCTAGACTTACTTCAAGAAACTGAGATGCTTGGATGTAAAGCTGCGAACACTCCCATGGAACCAGTAAAAAGAAGTGAAGATGAGAGTGCACTAGCGGATAAAGAGAGATATCAAAGTCTAGTTTGGAAACTAATATATCTTACTCATACCAGACCAGACATTGGTTTTGTTGTAAGTATGGCTAGTCGGTACATGTCAAACCCAACTGAGACTAACATGATTACAGTTAATAGAATTCTTCGATACCTTAAAGGTACACCAGGCCGAGGACTTTATTTTCAGAAGAACTCAAACAAAGGCATTGAAGTTTATACTTATTCTGATTGGGCAGGGTGTTTATCTGACAGAAAATCCACTACAGGTTATTGTACATTTGTATGGGGTAACATGGTAACTTGGAGAAGCAAGAAGCAATATGTGGTGGCTAGGAATAGTGCAGAAGCTGAATTCAGAGCTATGGTACAAGGTATTTGTGAAGAAATTTGGCTAAAGCGGATTGCTTGATGAAATTAGAATTCCCACTGACTACACAATGAGGATATTATGTGACAACAAGGCTGCTATAAACATTGCGAAAAATCCAATCCAGCATGATAGAACAAAGCACATGGAAATTGATAGACATTTCATAAAGGAGAAAATTGATCAGGAAATTATAAGGATTGATCATGTTCCATCACACCAGCAGACAACAGACATTCTTACCAAAGCTCTTCCGAAGATCATATATGAGAATATCAGATCCAATCTGGGTATGATAGATATCTACCACCCAGATTGACGGGGAGTGTTGAAGATTAGCAAAGAATCTGTTGTGCAGATTTTGTTTTGTATATATCATAACTGCAGTTTTATGTAAATTAATTAGTTGTTTGTTTTGTTTTTATCACATTTAATCTTAACATTTATAGGAATAATTATTCCCTTAATTTCTAGGCTAAATTAGCTCATTCCTCTCAGCCCTATGTACTATATATACATCTTATGTATTATCAACCAGATATGAAACATACAAACATATTTCTACAGGTATCTTAACGTAATACTATACTATTAACTTGAAAATATTTGTCAATATAATATACACACAAGTTTGTGGTTAGACATCAAAACCATGGTATGGATGGTTTTAATGTAAATTTAATTAATGTTCACACTAATTCAAGACCATTTTTTTACTTTTTAGAGTCAAATGTATCTCATGGCTTGCATATCATCATTTACTGTAACTACTAAAATCATGATGATGTAACACGGATAAATATAATATGCATATAGAGTAATTAAGATTCCATTTATATTAACTAAGCAATGAAATTTTTTCTCTACAACAAAATTATTGGTGCTGATTTCACAATTTAAAGAAAACTTTTATTTTCATCTAGATTCATAATATAGTCTACGAACCTTACCTCAACCCTTGCACCAGATTTCTTGGAACTAGGTGGATGTTTGTTTGGTAAAGGTGTTGACTCTGGTTTTCTCTCATTCTCATTTTCTGCTCCACCAAAATGACTGTCCTGCTGTAAAATTGTAAAATACCAGATTCAAATGATAGTTCATTCCAAAGGGGGAATGCCTTTAATTTTGGCATCAGAATGATGATAATTAATGGATTAAAGGTAGAGATATGCTGTAAATGAACAAATTAATCAGTCTTGTTCATCCAAAACTGACAACATAATCTTCAGGCATCAAGCTGATTGTGATATTTGTAACTGGCAAACATTACAGCATTAATTCTTAACTGAAATATTAGATTTACCTTACTTATTGATCTATCATATTCTGAAATGGCTGCAACTTCTGTATCTGGCTTACTCTTCCTGTCAAATAGATTCCCCATGTGAAAGATAAAATTTTATCATATACACAAAAATATTTTATGTGCCCAAAAGACCTACAGAATTTTTTTCATGAAACTAAATTGATTGAGTCTAATATTGCAAAAGTAGGAACCAAATGGTATGCAGTGTTTCTCTCAAGTAATGATTAACATACAAATTTCTTTCATGGCCTGATATCCGTTGGGTTTGATCGCAGAAATTCGGCATGGAACCATAATTTCGTTCAAGTAGAGCACTAAGCTGTGCCCCAAGCTCATTAACCTTCAATTCTAAGTTGGCAAGATCTGCTTCTATCATTACTAATTCCTCAAAATCTGTCCTGGTCTGTGGAAAGTGGGCAGATTACGATTTTGCTGCATAATGAAAACAAATTATGAACAATATATGAATGAGATAGACTAACCTGTTCATCAATACCAATTAATTCAGATAATGTCCCTGGAAGAAACTTAAGTCCTGCTTCAAGAGTTTCCCTAAAGTTCTTCTCCTTTAGCAACTGCTCCTGTAACTTATCAACCTGCGAGGACATGCTAGTTAACAGAATCTCAATTTACATGAGTATGGAGCAAGAGGGTCACAGGGAGTTGGTATGTTCTCTCATAATGAGCTTACATCTCGCTCAAGAACCAGACGCCGCTCTTGCAAGGCTTCCTTTCGTGTTTCCACATAAGATTGCAGCTTTGCATTTACTTTTCCCTGCAAGAGAAATTGAAAATCGATAATTGATTCTAGCAGATTGACAAGGCTAAATTGAGAAAATCAAGTTTTAACCTCCGCTGCAATTTGGATTTGCAGTTCTGTCTTAACAGCTTCAAGCCTCTCCACTTCAGCTCTAAGTATTATGAGAAACATAAATTAGTGGACAGAGTAAAGTGAACAAAATCAGAAGAGCCGTTTAAGTGACTGCTCCACTTCAAACGGTACTCTAACATTGGAAACATTCTTGAGATAATATAAGACACTCTAAGATAGTGTTAGATATCTTATACCTTCGAACAGTTCAATTATATGTAGAATCAGAAACTCTAAATACATGACAAAACATAAAGAGGAAATGCAGTTTCATGATATATAAGTTGGTTGGGTTACATGGCTTTGATTTTATTATCTATGTTTCTGAAAGACTCTTTGTGGACAAACATAAATAATTTGATAAGCATACTGCATAGCCTTGTAGTTTATCGCTCAAATGTATCATACTCGGATTGATTATGTTGCTAAAAGACTCTTTATAGCCTTATAGTTTTTATCCCTCAAATATATCACGCTCTGATCAACCATGCACACAAAAGAGTCCAAAACCACCAGGCATATAAGAGTTTGAAGAACCACAGCCCAAAGGCAATGAATGAGTAACAGTACAAAGATACCAATAAAAACTTGAACTAAGAATTTCACAGTTCTTAGATATCAATTACATACTTGTTTTCGTCAAGAATATCAATGGATTCCATGGAAAGGTTCTTCCTTCCCTGGACATAATACAAAAAGAAGACATCATAACTTGGACTTTATAATTATAGAATAAAATTGGTTAAGCTGGAAATGTAAAAGCTTTAGCCAATTTAGGGTAAGTGGCAGTGACAAAGACAATTGCCAAGATAAAAGAAAGTCACATAATTAATCATGAGAAGATTTACTCACAGAATTTCGCCCCAAAACAGTGCGTCGCTGGTGCATTGTTCCATTGGACATGGCTATAGATTTGTTCATACATGAAGAAGAGCTAGGAGAATTTAATCTATTTATTGTAGTTTGGTCAGGGGATAAGCCTTCAATTATATCAGTGGCCTTAGTGGAGTCATTTGCAGAAGCAGTTTTATTTTGGCTTGTGAAATTTTCACAGGGCTTGTTGGACTCATCTGCACAAGCACTGTTATTTTGGCTTGCAAAATCTTCACAGCTTTTGATATCTTCAGATAGAGGCAATGAGACTTCAAGTGAAATTGTTGACAACCTTTGGTCGACTGCAAGATAATTACTTACTTCTGAGGACTTTGAACTTGAATATGAAAGAATATGGTCCTATACATCAGACAACATTAAATGAGTAGGGCATTCCCCTCTCTTTCTCTCCTTAAAAAAAAACTCAGTATACTTACTGCAATCAGAATAGCATGCATAGGAAGATCCAGACAAGCATGAATCATATCAAACTATATATAATGTGTCAAACAAAAAAAATAGTATTTTATTTTACTTTTCAAACATGAGGGTGAAATGTATAGCATTGCAACTTTGTATGTCAGCACCTTATTTGGATGTAAAAACACAAGATCTGTATATTAAATTTATGAACAACATCAAACTATATACAATTAAACTAGATAATTCAAATGATTAAGGAATTGATAGAGTTTGGATTGGGAAAAACTTGTTTGACAACACAAAGGTTATGATAAAACTAAGGTCAGTTATACTTGAGAAAAGGATGTAAGATTTAGAGTAAAACTGAAATTCCTCAATGCTGAACTACACATTTTTTCTTCCATGAAAACTTCAGTTCTGATCTTTTTCATAAACTAAATTTAGTCCAACAGAAAGAAATGGATATGCCCACTTACAAACTTATTTGCTATAGTTTTATCAAATTGTCATGACATAACTAAGACTCAAACCTTATCATCATATTCATCATTGACTGCAGAGTCTCCAGTCTCGTTGGTTTCACTAACAAGATCATCATCTGCATCTACATCTGACCCCTCTATTGATTCGTCTTGTTCATCATCATAATAATCATCATAGGACAAATCATCATCGGTGGCCTCCTCACTCTCAGATTCACCTTCTGAATCCATGTACATATCAGGGCCGGGAGATGAAGAACCTTCCTGATAGAACACTGATAACTTAAAAATATGTAGAGACAATAGTATAGAGAATTTTAAAATAATATAATTTGAAGAAGCATCTACTTTTCAATCAATGACGCAGAGAGCCCCAGCCTATTAAGTCCAAATGTTCAAAAAGTTTAAATTGATTTTAGTTTTATTGCATAGAGTCGAGATTATGAATGAAAACCGCATTTAAACAAATATATATATATATATATATATATATATATATATATATATATATATATATATATATATATATATATATATATATATATAAACTATTTAGGTGGCCTACAAAACCGACTAGTTAGGTGGCCTACAAAACCGGCTTGTTAGGTTTTAGGCTCTATCTTTAACCAATTTGAGACTTGGATGGTGTGTGGGTATGAATTGTCGATAAGTGGGACTTGGTTTTTCTAATTCACCCCTCACATCCAAGATTATTGGGCTTGGTGCGAGGAATAAATGGTGGGTGGCTTGATTGATAGGCTCTTGATACTATGTTAGAATTAAAATTTGGTCTAACTCATTCTTACAAAACCGGCTTGTAAGATGGGAGATGTCACTCTTTATAAACTATTTTTAGACTCTATCTTTAACCAATGTGGGACTTCGATGTTTCCCGATAATTTTAAAAGCAGCCCATTATGTCCTCTAACACAAAACTGAAATCAATAAATGAAACGAACGGTTCCCAAAAACTATTTAGAAAAAGCTTTCAGAAAAACAACAAGTATGAACCAACACACTAAGATAAAACACTTAAGCCTCATTAATGATGTAAGAAAAGCATGCAATATGAACGCATGTGCTATAAAATGAAAGCCATGAAAAAAGAAATGTAGAATATAAATAAAACTACCTCAAATATGCTGTTATATTCTTCTAATAAAGTAATAACAATTGCTTGAGCATGGTTAGCTGCAGCAGCTGCTTGTAAGAGTTGAATGGAATCATCTCCACCTACATCAAAATCATTTTCAACCTCGCAATCTCCAATTAGAAGGGGGCGAAGAAGTAACGGTGCCATGCATGCTGCCACAGCCGATGAGCTCATTCTGTTCTCAGCTTGTAGGGAAGCTACTGTTTGCATCATCAAGAGTATTCTGTAAAATAAAGAAATGCATAACTTACATAGTATAAAAATATAGATAGGAACAATGGAGAACAAAACTTAACCAAAAAATAAAAAATAGCCAAATGTCTAACCATAAGTTAACAACTGAAAGTTAGTCCTATTCATGGAATATACTCTACTCACAAGTTACTTCTCAGACATTGCCAACAGAATAAAATGTACACTACCACCCATCTATAGAAAGATCGAAAAACCATAACTAATATCATGGTCCAGTATTCTCCAATCTATAAATCTCAATTCTTATTTCAAGTATTGTTGAGTTTCTTAACATGGTTGGGGCCATTTAATGGTAACTGATGCTTTAGAGCTTATGGATTCAAATATCTTCAACAGGCCAGTCTCCTATGTGTTAAAATTGGAAAAATCGGTATAGCCCCTCATATGTATATATAATTGTATATTAATGTTAGCACATAAGATAACAAAATTAGCAATAAATGGTTAAAAATAAGTGTAACAATCAATGAGTTTTTCCGAAGAGAAAGATATCATAAAATGAAAAGTAATTAATCAAAATTACCTTTGCAACAAACGGCGGTTTGGTTCAGGAAAAGTGTCCCATATTGCTGCACGCATAGCAGGAACCCTATTCGCACGTGCAGTTCCTAATAGATGTGACAAGTTCAAATGATGAATGGAAATTAATCTTCAAAAGAAATACATGTAAAGAATATAAGAATTTTGCTTGTGTTTATCTCTTATGATGTAACTTTACCCACGAGAAACTGAAAAAATGTGGACTGCATGTATTAGAATAATTCCACATGATAGAATACATGCAATGTATCACCGCGTGTACACATGTATATGCCACTGTGTATGCCTTGTGTTATAAAATTAGTTAGAGGTTTAGCTAGTTAGCTTTGCCAGTTGTCACATTTAGTTAGAGTAGTTACTATCACGTTAGTGGCAGTTGCTGGCTGCTTTCTAGTCTACTCTGTACCCTATAAATACAGGTCTCTATATTCAGAGATCTCAGAATATCAATTACAGAATTAGATTTCTCTAAATTTAACACATTTGAATGGGTACAATTAGATCTCAGTTATATACTAGACTAGGTGCATCAGTTACAACTGTAAGACAACTAAGATGGGCAGGCTTCCCAACTCAGGACCAATGTTACAAAGCAATTACTCTAATACAATAAAATATAAAAAATATAAAAAACAGAGATAAACAATACAAACAGAAACTTATCTCAGCATTCTCCTCTCAAACTCAGTGGTTGATCAAGTGTGAACCTGTCAACTGCTCTAACTCTAAGTTTGTCAAAAGCACAGGGAACTGAATTGCAGACAGAGGCATAGTGAGTGCATCAGCCTACTGATCTTGACCTGGGACATGACACATGATAAGGTTCTTATTCAGCACCATATGTCCAGCTGCATATGCTTAGTGCAAGAGTGCAGAACACTATTGCGAGACAATTTGTACATGTTCTAAGTTCTCCATTTATTTTTCTTTCTATTAGGCAGTTGACTTAAATCATCTTCTTGACTAAGCCACACATCTTTCACTATATATTATGTTTTCTTGTAGGACAAGAGTGCAGGTGAGATGGTTGCATCAGATGTGAGTCTAATGGCCTTTAAAATCACTCCCAACTACCCTCGTATTTGCACTGCTGCAGATTCTTCCCTTCTGTTACATGAGCAATTGGGTCACCCTAGCCTTGCAAAGTTATGAAAATTGGAGCCAAGACTGACAAAGTTATCCAATTTGTCCCGTGTTCATGTCAATTTGGTAAACACACCTGTAGTTTGTTTCCTAATCATATATCCATAGTCAAGCTAAGTCTCCTTCTCCTTTTGTTTCAGCATTGCACTCCTTGACATCGTACTACATCTTCGGGAATACTTGTTTTTACAGCCTTGATCCAGATCTTGATAAACAATTCACTAAGTTTCTCAAAGGTCTTCCTGGGTTACACTTAATGCTTAAAGGGTTATTGTACTACACGTATCTAGTCTCAGATTTTGTTATTGTCTGAGCCTATATATTCTCTGGCCCATTTAACAAACCTTATGTTGGTCACTTTACCTGTTCCTCCAATTGTAGCTTAGTATACTCCACCGCCCATACCCAAGTTCAAAACACTTCTACGCTTATTGGTCACTTGCATATTTATCATCACATTCATCGGCCATCCACACCTCTGACACCTGCACCCGTGTTTACTTCTCCTACTGATATAAATCCTGTATACTCTCTAACTCCACCTAATTTGAACCAACCTCTTGAAACTGACCTTGCTATTGCACTCAGACATGTATACTGTCCACTTGCATCCCCTTTCCTAGTTATATTACTTTGAGCTATCATTGTTTGTCATCATCGTAATTCTCATGTCTCTCTTCCTTGTATTCTATGTCTATTCTTAAGTAAGACTACACAGGAAGAAATTTCCCTTATTGGGTGAAACTAGGCTATGCTTAAAGAAATATTTGCACTTCAGAGAAGTTGGTTTGGATAGTTCAATAACTAGAGGTAGAATGAAATTAGAGAAAACTATAAGTTAAATAATAAGAGATTTAAAGCTAAATAGTACTCCCTCCGGTCACTATTATAAGCAAAGATTTTCTTTTTAGGTTCATTAAATAATTTATGTATCTAACCTCTATGTAGACGAGATACATCAATTATTTAATGAACCGAAAAAGAGAATCTTTGCTTATAATAGTGACCGGAGGGAGAATATTGTCAGAGTTGATACAAGACAGAGAATCATGGCATTGTTTGATCTATGTATCTAACCTCAGCTAATGGAAAAAAGCTTGTTTGTTGTTGTGTGGTTATTTAAGTATAGCTGGTACAGCAGTAAGATCATGTACAATAAGTACTGGATAACTTTTTAATAATATTAAATGAATTAAAAACTAAAATTATACTTACGAGATGCTTCTAACAATGCCTTGCAACAAGATGCTGGGACTGGAAAAGACCGCAGTTCACGAATTACATGCTGAATTTTTTTGAAAAAAAAAAGTAAGAAATTACAACTTTTATTATATGTGCTGGATGAAGGAAAGAGTCATTCAGTTTATCATGATACCTTAACACAATCAGCAACAACATGTGCGTCCTCCTCCTCAGAAAATTCAACTTTTCCTGCAACCATAGAGCATACACGTGAACATAAGATTTGATCAGTGGCTGAGGTAAAAAAAAGGTATAGTGTCATTTTATGACCTAGAAAAACCTTGTATCTAATTCTAGTAAGAACAAAGGGCACACTCAATTTACTATAATGATCTAGTAATATATACTTGTGAAAGAATTCTGGTTATTTGCATGGAAAGGCCAGAAATATGGCAGATATGTTAGACAGGTGAAAATGATCTTCACCACACAATCTAATCAAAGTGGAAGCATCCCAAGGAGGAAGATGTAGTGTAACTTTAAAAAAAACAGCGGAAGGATTTTTGAGGATCAGAAGTACAAACCTTGTTCATAATCTCGCACTCGATTTTCAACATCTTCAACATCAGCAGCTTGCCGCAAGATCCCTTCTACTTTGGCTCCTGTTTTCTAGCAATAATTAGCTTCGCATGAAACACTTTACCGGTTTGTGTCATATGTAAATGATACCATAAGGGTTATAAAAAAACATATACATATTCACTACCGGCTTCTTCCCTGCCCCTCCCCAATACAAAAAGTAGAATCCCCATATGAGACTTCTGTTTCAAGGTCACAATGAAAGTCAACCAAAGGAGAACTGGAAAACCTAAAGTTTAGAAGAAACCACTGAAAAACATTGCTTCTGGAAATACATAGTTATGCAAGTATATCAAATTTGTCTTGTGTAATGTGAGCCATGTCAACTTCATAAACAAACACATAGTTATTTCCTAAACTAATCTGCAGTAAACCTAAGTCTCCTTTGGGAAATACTCTGTCACAATCATTAATCATTATCTGCATCATACTTGGTTATTTTTAATGAACAACAATAGGTTTGAATTGTTTTCCATTTTTCAGCAATTTCACGGTGAAAAAAAATACAAGGAGGTCCCATTTCTACTCTGCAAAGATGAAAATTTCTATTTCAACAATTCAATATGCCAACAAGGGTAAAAAATTGTATACAAAATAAAAAATTGAGGTATAAAAAAATCCTCAACACTGCATTCAGGATAGAATGGCTCTTATGATGCTTTAAGCTGAAGCAAGCGTTAAATTGAAGAGAGAAAAATAATTCAGTAAAAACAGTAATGTAGACATGCACGGGAAAGCATTGACATTTTTCCTTTTAAAGTTTTGATAGATCAAAAGGATGGATTCATACTTCAAAACTCAACACAAGAAGCATGGGTTTCCATTTATATGATTGTTTTTCCGTGAACAATAACATAGAGAAAAGAAAAGAAAACCTACCATGCTCTTCTATGAACCTCAGGGCTTTTTCCAAAAAAGATGGAGTTCCATCAACTTCCTCCAAAGCAAGTAGAATTGGCCGACCAAGGACTTCATATTTTACTGCATCTCTATCTTTCACTATAGAAGAAATGCAGAAAAATCATATGAAAGCAAAGCAAGCTATAACTTTTTCTTCTAAACATCATTATGAAAATGCATGATTTAGGACAACATTATACTGATCGGTGTGAGAGAAAAATGACAAAACAGGTCTGCTAACATATTACCTAAAGAGGGAAATTAGGGTAGAGCATATTTACATACAAGAGGATTTGAATTAGCAAATCATATCAGTTAGCATTTACTCTATTTATTCTACATGCTACTATAAATAGAGGCGAGTGTAGTCTGATTTAAACACATAAATCATAAATAAAATAGGGTACAAACGGAGCCCCTTAACTAAAGGGATTAAGTCAGCTATAGCCAACAAACTTTCCTAATTGACTAATAGAGTAAGAGAAAATACACAAGGAAATAGGAAACTAAAGAAAAGGAATATTTAAATTTAAAAAATAATGAAACTCTAAACGAAACACGTGGAAATAAGGAAATAAGAAAAGTCTCAAGTCTCAGCAATAATATTCACATCAACCATCATATCATAAAATCAATTAATATCAGATATTTATATGTAAGTGTTTGTGTATGGATGGATTCATGTATGTTCAAATAAATTGTTTAGAAGTTATAAACTGGGAAACATTCATAGAGTGCACACAAGGAGACACAACCTTCGAAGGAAATTAACATGAATGAAGCACAATAGTAGCAAGAGCATACACTGGTCCAAATAAATATCGAGTGACTCGGCCTGTCCACTTCTAAAGATACCACTTTGCCCCGTCACATTAGTGGCACTTGGTGCGTGTGCCAAAACATTCTCAAGTGCAGTTTTCCATTCGTATAAATCTTCAGTAGTTTCAGCCTATAGCATTAGCAAATGCAATACATCAGCAAAAGGGAAGCATTTCATATTCACATTTCTTCCTATATTTTGCAACTCATTCTGTGTCAAAGCATTGAGCATACCAAACCCAATACATCTTACAAAACATATAGCTTATTTCATTAATGATGAAATACAGTATCTTGAAGGGAATTTACTGAATATTATTTTTTGATAATCGTAATACAAAACATCCTTCACATTATAGAATAATGTCGCAAATGTTATTATTAACTAGATTATAACTATATTATACAGAGCAAATCTGTCCCGATAACATATTTATGAAAATAAAATCTTTACAAATACAGAAAACAATGCAAAAGCAAACAAGTAATACATCACAGTATATACTTTATCATCAAGGCAGGAAACAAAAACTCTTGAGAGGAAGAAGCCAACATTTATAGCAAAAATAAATTTGAAACGTTCTTCAACAGTTCAACGGAATAAAAGTGCTGAATTTAGAGGAAAAGCAAAGCACCTTAAGTGTGAATACTCGTCCATCATGAACATCGGGAAATTGTACAGTCAAAAGTTTCTTATCTTCTTTGATAGAAACACTACAAAATTTGACAAGATACGGGTCAAGAAACTTCACATTCACATACTACTGCAGCAAGATTATGAAGACAAACAAATAGCCAATAACGAGTACTTGTTAAAAACAGGCCAACCTGCCTGAATTGTTAAGGTCAATGCCACCAAGGGTCAAGTTTACTTCATTTCCCTTCTGAGAAACAACATTCTGAAAATAGAAAAATGATTGGGAAATATACTTAGGCAAGTACAACATTTCACACTCAAAAAATCAGGCCCACGTGTTGAATCGCAGGAACATGTACTTTAATAAGGATTCTTGTGTTCAGGCATTGCAAAAGAAAAATTATGAGAAAAGATATGGAGAGTCAGTAAGTGAACCTAGTTCTATATATAAAATAGAAGGGAAAAAATTATCAATCTACGTAATAAAGGATAAAGCATCGTACCTTAAAAATTTAAAACTAAGTTCCAAAAAATAAACAAGAAAATTGGCAGTTGGTTCGGTTCATAACTATATCATGTATAATCACATTTGGACAAGTACAGCAGGATATCTTTGTTCTTTGGTGATAAAATAATTGAAAATATTCTGGTTTCCAAAATCTAATAATGAGAAATATATTTTACCAAAGATAAATTTTGAATCTTTTAAGAAATGAACAGATGAAAAATATGTTTAAATGTGAGTGAACCTATGTGTTCCAAGTAGAGTTTTATAAATTAAAAAATTAAAAATTAAAAAACAGATTTGCTTGCACTGTGCAGGAAACACGGCAGAAAAGAAGAACAAACCAGATGCTATAAAAAATTACTTAACTGGATCACTTCTGAAGAAAACAAGTGAAGTTTGTGTTAAAATAAACCACCTTTTCTTCCAGGATGTCCATCCGATTCCTACATATCATAAAATAATACTGTGCAATAAATAATTGCTTCAAAAAATGCGCCATTTTGCCAAGACTTCAATTGACATTTTGCCAAGACTTCAATTGTAGGGTTAGCATTTGAGTATTTTATGTAGTAGAATACAGACTGCGATTGGGGAGAATTCAAAGATTATAAGAAAAGTATTAGTTATTACTCTAGTTTAGTTACCAGTGCCAGCTGTCAGGGACAGCTGCAAGTTAGTTAGACCAAACCTGTACACTGTGCAAACTATTTTGCAAGAGCTTTTTGTTCTGTTTCTCATCATGTGATTTACTGTGATAACCAATCAGTTGTACTTCTTGCTCGTGTTCCCATTCTTCATTAAGGAAAAAACACATGGAGATTGATCTCTTTTTTGTCAGAGAAAAGGTGTTGGCCGAGCAACTCATAGTGACGCACATCCCTGGTCTGGTACTAATCAAAGGGCTAGTGTCCTTACCAACTACCAAGTTTATCTCCACAGCCAAGTTCCTTCTCATGAGTTCCAAGCTCAATATGACTGACTCTTTCACAAGTCACCCACCTTGAGCATGAAAGAGGTGTATAAGAGAAGTATTGGTTGCTAATTCTACTGATTTAGTTACTAGTGCCAACTGTCAGGGACAGCTGCAAGTTAGTTAGCTTAACCTGTGCACCGTGCACAGGATTGGAGTCAGTTAGTGCGAACTTGCACATGTGTGTCGTATTAGGAATCCTATATAATATAATGATGTGATTATTTACCATTATGAATCAATGAAAACATAATATTCCAAAACAGAAATTTGTTATGAATCTTTCACAAATTAACAAACATGAATAAGCTGAATGTTATTTCACTTATTCTAGCTGTTTACAAAGGTTACGATCTATAGACTAAAGTGTGGAATTTTATTATGGCTGTTAAAGTTATGAGTTAAAAGAAAATAAAGAGAAAATAAATAATAGACTTTAAAACAATGGTGTAATATTATTGATAATAACTTAATACTGACTTAATACAAAAGACTAAGCACTATTAGAGTTATATCTTAGAATATGAATAATCAGCACTATAGAATAATTAAGTCCAGCCTTAATTTAATAGAATAAGAAAAGTCTTCCTTAATTGTAGAGCTTGAATGATTCAACTCTTGAATTAAGGAAGACTTTTCTTATTCTATTAAATTAAGGCTGGACTTAATTATTCTATAGTGCTGATTATTCATATTCTAAGATATAACTCTAATAAGCACTAATTCCTATTTATACGAATATATAGGACTCCTAAATACTAATTGAATTGGGGGAAAAGCATGATATTAACCAAGTAATATGGAGGAAAAAATCAAAAAATTTAATGACCATAAGGGTGAATAAAAAATATTGGACCCGTTTATTTTATTTTTCTATGCTTTAAAACATTTAAAGACTTTCTATTTTACTATAGGTACAAAACAACACTAAAAGCACCTTTACTCATAGAGTCTTTACATAGGCGTAGCCTAATGACAAAACATGATAGATCTTTAGAACCATGAGTAAATTAGAATAGTAAAGCATACCTTTGGAAGATATGAAAAGCGGCCCACTCTTAAAAACCTGTAAGAAATGAAATCACAGGAATTCAAACCACAGTAAGGGAGCCAATTGACTAAAGTCCTTAAAAAATCTTGCTCTAAATCATCCGAAGCTTCCATCAAAGTTGCTAGTTGCAACTCCCTCAAGAAGTCTACTAGGTTCATGCTTATGCAACTTAAAATACCCTACCTTATGTTACTAATAGGTGCCTCACTTGTTCTCTTTAATAATAACTAGGGGCTAGATTCTCATTACGATTTGGGATTTGATTCCTTAGAGCATAAGATCCCATCACAAAATCAAAGTAAAACACTCAACCAGGTATTGTTCTATTATTTTAACAATAATGTAAATCAAATTTTATATATCTGAAGTCCAAATTGGAAACAGCTAAATTGAAGGGTTAATGTGTTGTATGGATAAACATTTTACTTAAGCACCTAAATCACAAGCACTTCGCGTATAACTGTTTATGTCAAAAGCTATTTTTTTTACCAAAGATAAAACAAAGTAAAATTGTTTTCAAATAAGCTAAAGTTGTTTATATTTTGTGCAACACAGATTATCCTATGTCGAGGATAATCTGTTCTGCACAAATTATCCTCGAGAACTTATATAGGCATATCATAAGTTGTTTCGATAAGTTCTCCTAAACATTCTCAGAAATGTTTATGCCAGATGATAAGCTCAACTAACTCAATCCAAACAAGAGTAACTGACTAACACAAAGCCTAACAGAGGTAATAAAGCCATTAACAGTCACGCTTTAAGCCAATTGAATCACACAAATATTTATCCTATTTTTACAAAGAAAGACGATTAATTACCTTATTGCGAGAAGAAAGATTTAGAGAAGGTGTAGGCTGAAGCTGAGGATTAGAAGAAGGAAGAGAAGAATCACTACACACCTACAAAACAAACACAATCATATAATGACCTTCCTCACCAATTCACAGAATTATTCACAATTCAGCATTTGAATTAACCACAAACCCTAAATCCACATATTATAAAACATAGAAAATTACCTGATCCATTTCACCGCTTACGTGATTCATATTCGCGATCATTTCCCCTCCTACAAACACACAACCCTGCATAAACAACAATGCAGATCAGCTATCAAGGATCATAACGATAAATGCAGATCAGCTATCAAGGATCATAACGATAAACGCAGAAAACCATAACATAACCGAAACGATAGATTGATTACCGTATAAAGAAACGAAGCATTTGGAGAGAAATTGAGATGAAAGGGAAAGAAGAAAGTGAAAGGAAAAGAGAGTTTTGGCGTCTCTCAATCGCTTCCACTCTCTTTGATCCGAATGGAATGTGATGTGAGGAGTGAATGTTTTGTTTTGGCACGCAAGGAAAGGAGGGAGATGAAGTGGGACACGTCATCGTCGATATTGAAACCCGAACCCGTCGTTGATGGAGGGAAAATACGTAACAACTCTTTGTTGCTCTTTTTTAGCGGTAGAAATATAAATGTTATTAAATGAAGTTTGTATATAGCGTAGCATGAAATTAAAGTACTTTCTTTTAATTTATATTTTCGCTCTTCTTTCTATTATAAGAATTTGTAGAGATTTTTTTGTCTTATAAGGAACAATAGTAATTTTAAAATTGGATATTTACAAGGTATCAATTATTTAATATGTTGTGAAAAAAGCAATACTGAAATGAATCAATAATCTCTTGTGTTTGGATTAGCAATTTTAACTAAAGAATTTTGAATGGTCACATTAATACATTTTATTTTTATGCATGATTTGATTTCAAAAATTTATGATTAATAAATTTTGAATGAAATTATAATTTAACCAATAAAATTTTCTACCAACTTCTAAATATAGTTGTGTATATTTTTTGAAAGGTTACATTTATATTCTTGAAAAAAATAACGTAGTTTAAATGATGTATTGTTAACTATAAATATATTGTTAATAAAATTAACAAAAAAAGGTATATTATAAATATATAAAAGATAAAGTAAATAAGAACTCTAATGTATATCTTAAATATTTAATTTATCATTCTATAAATGTAAGAATAAATATTATTTTGTAATTATTTAGATCCTTATTTGACCTAAAATAAATTATTTCAATTTCTATAAAAAGGTTAATAAAACAAAACAAAATCAATTGAGATTTGATAATTTTTTAAAGTTTATGAAATAACTAAAATATATCATAATCTTTTCAAATTAACTTTATAATTGTAATCATGATAAAAAAATATTAAATGGTAATCATGAAAATTTAATGATAAATGATAATCATAAAAATTTATGATAAAATAAAAAATTATTGATACAATCACTTTAAAAAATTAAATAATTTATAATTAATTTTATAAAGGTGAATAAATTACAAATAATTTTATAAACGTAATAAATTAAACTATTTATAAAATTATTTATATCAATAATAGTAAATTACATATATTTTAATAATGGACACACGAATTCAACATGCTTATAAACCGGAAAAAAGTTACAATAATTTTATAAATAGGAATAAGTTAATATCATTTTATATAAATTAATGGTATAATATAATGTATTAAATATTTATATAACACTTTATTAAATAAATTTATTTCATGAAATTAATTTTGTATAATATCATTAATTTTTAATTATTAAAAATTCGCAATAAACTGAAAAATATTTATTACAAATCAAATATAATAAAACATAAGAAATAAATACATAATTTTGAAATGTTATATATGATTCATTGTAATAATAAATGTTAAATTATTATTTAATATTATAATAAATTTTCCGATATCCTTGCACTTATAATTCTTGGTTTGTATTTTATAGATGAACAACGTTTGATATTTGAGAAAATCATGGATGTTGTTAACAAACTGAGTGGAGGGGTATTTTTCTTGCATGGTTACGGAGGGACTGGTAAAACTTTTATGTGGAGAACACTATCAAGTGCACTTCGTTCTCAAAAAAAATTTGTTCTTACTGTTGCTTCAAGTGGGATAGCTTCGTTATTATTACCGGGTGGAAGAACAGCACACTCAAAGTTCAAAATACCTGTGCCAACGCTTGACAACTCAACTTGCAACATCGACAAAGACACCGAACATTCTCAATTATTTGAAGCAACGGATGTGATAATATGGGATGAGGCACCTATGTCTCACAAGAACTGCTTCGAAGCATTGGATAAAACCCTTAAAGATGTAATGAGCAAAAAGGGTGTTGAGAATACTATTTTTGGTGGAAAAGTTGTTGTATTTGGAGGAGATTTTAGACAGATTCTTCCTGTTGTTCCAAGAGCTGGGCGTTCTGATATTGTTCATGCATCAATTAGTTCATCTTATGTATGGGATTATTGCCAAGTTTTAACACTATCAAAAAATATGAGACTTCAAGAGGGAAGAGACAACACAAGTTTTAATGAACTAGCGGAATTTTCAAAATGGATTTTAAATGTGGGTGATGGTAAGATTTGTGAACCCAATGATGGTTTGGTTGATATTGAAATTCCTCAAGAGCTATTAATATCAAATTTTGATGATCCTATAAGAGCAATTGTTGAAAACACATATCCCAATTTGTTGGAAAAATATCAAGATGTTGAATTCTTACAAGGAAAGGCTATTCTTGCTTCAACCATTGAAGTTGTGGATAAAATCAATCATTATGTATTAGACTTGATACCAGGTACATGTGTTTTATATTTACTGTATTATTACATTCATAATATATATATATATATATATATATATATATATATATATATATATATATATATATATATATATATATATATATATATATATATATATATATATATATATATATATATATATATATATATATATATATATATATATATATATATATATATATATATATATATATATATATATATATATATATATATATATATATATATATATATATATATATATATATATATATATATATATATATACATATATAAGAACATAGTTTTACTAATTTATTTATGTTTTGCTTTTAAACTTTTTTTTAGGAGAAGAGAAAGAGTATTTGAGTTTTGATTCCATTGATAGAACAGATTCAAGTTATACTGAAGCATATGAAGTTCTAACTCCTGAATTTCTCAGTAAATTAAGAACGTCAGGGCTTCCCAATCATAGGATCAAATTGAAGGTTGGTACACCTATTATGCTAATGAGAAATTTGGACAAAGCCGATGGGTTGTGCAACAGAACAAGATTAATTGTTACAAGATTTGCAAATCATGTCATTGAGGCAAAAATCATGTCTGGAAAGAACATAGGTAACATTTTTTACATTCCACGAATGTCTATGTCACCTTCTGATTCACCATGGCCATTCAAGTTGATTATGAGACAATTTCCGATTATTGTCTCCTATGCAATGACAATTAATAAGTCACAAGGTCAATCTCTTGATAGTGTTGGATTGTATTTGCCTACTCCTGTGTTTGGTCATGGTCAATTATATGTTGCAATTTCAAGAGTTAAGAGCAAAAGTGGGCTAAAAATCCTAATTCATGACAAGGAGAATGTACCGTGTTCTACTACTACTAATGTTGTGTACAAGGAAGTCTTTCAAGCACTTTGATAGCTGGTAAACTTTATATCTTATACTTTACGATTCAAATTAAAAATCTATTTTGAATTAAAATATATAGTATGTACATTTTCCATGTATTTCAAGAAGTATATAATTTTTCCTATTGGTTCATGCAGACGTGATTTGTTGATAGGACCGACGCTTGCTACAAATATGGAGTTAAATGCCAACATGGTTTACATGAGACATATACTCAACTGAAAACATGATAACATACTTAATAATTTAATAATCTATAAATGTAATGTGAATCCAGACGAGACCCGTGCGATAGCACGGGTTTGTTACTAGTTATAAGAATTTGTAGAGATTTTTTTGTCTTATAAGGAACAATAGTAATTTTAAAATTGGATATTTACAAAGTATCAATTATTTAATATGTTGTGAAAAATGCAATACTGAAATGAATCAATAATCTCTTGTGTTTGGATTAGCAATTTTAACTAAAGAAATTCTTTTTAAGTATTTAAAATGAAATTGATCAAAATTCATTAGAATAAAAAACGTGGAGACTTGATAAAATTATTTGAATATATAAAATATTTTGTCAAAATTAAATTTAAGAAATGTTTTCAATGACATATTAAAGTAATAGATTTGAAATTTCTCTCTTATTTTATACCATGTGAATATTAAATTAGTTGTTATTAATCAGAGTGAGTTTCGCGAAGATCGGATTGAGAGCGAGCACACAAATACACATTAAATAAGATATTAGGTTTATAGATCGTGAGATAAATAAGAGATCATATTATGTATTTGTATATCTTTTGATTTATTTTTGAGACGTATTTGAAAGGTAAGTTATACAAAAGGTATCAAAATATCCGAAGAAAAATGGAATATACATCCAACTAGTCATTTTTTGTATTTCCAAAATTTAAAAAATACACCCCCCCCCCTCCCCCTCAAATTTCTAAAATTTTTGTAAAAAAATAATTAATATTGGTTAAAGAGATGAATTTCGAAATTTTCGGTACTCTTAACAAATTTCTGTTATCGATTTTTGTCGTATACCGGAAATTCTTTATATTCTACAAATTTCCGGTAGCGATATACTGGAAATTTCAATTTTTTCGATTACGATTTACCGTAAATTATTTCCAGAAAAATTTACAAAAGTCCCTACAGCTACTGAAAATTTAGCAAATTTCCGATAGAAAATCTTTACCGGAAATTTCACTTATACTTGAAATTTCCGGTATGTCTGCAGATAAAATTTTATATCTTTGCGGTCCTGAATAGGCAGCTTCAGCTTCTTCTATGGATTCATGTACTGACCTTATGCAGTTCTTCATTACAGATACCGTAAGTTTTCTATTTAATTTACACAATTACGTATTTTGTTTTTGTAATTTGATGAAGTTTACTAATTATATGTTATTGTAATTGTCAGATTTTTTAATCACGAGATAAAGTTTTGGAATGGTAGGCACCCTT